GAAAAATATGACGTCTGGACTCACGACGGCTGACTCCAGATTTGAGAATTGAGAATTCAGAGTTCAGTGAGTGCGTATCATTGAAGATTGTGATTATGAAGAAACTTCTAGAAATACAGGAACATTAAGAACAATTGCAGTTTCATTTTAAAATATCATGGACCGTTCTAGAAGAAATGATATTTGTAACGTCAGCGGGGCTGGCGTCCCTCTCTTTTAAAACAACGAATGTGTAATAAATCCGATATGTACATTATTTACGCATTTCTATATATATATATATATATGTAAAGTTAACAGCGAGATGGTGAGCATCTTCCAGTTTAATTTGCCTACTTTTTTGATTGAACTGTAATGATGGATACGTATGGAAAACAATACAAAATCCCCGAGGATTTGTGTGTCGGCCTCCAGACCAGACACATTTATGTATTCGCCAATTTTAAAACGCGTTGTGATGATAGAGCTTACGGTACCTTGGGAAACCAACATATATGTAAATGTATTGACATCAAGGTCAAGGTCGTAATATATATTGACATCAAGGTCAATACATAACGCGACCTACTAAGAGACTAGGGCCTGTCCAAAACTCACATTAATTCATTCTTGGAACTTATTTCGACGGCAATCCTAGTAAGTTCTTTTCAAATTTAGTTAGGTAGAGAGAGGAGCTCGGACAGTGCAGGCGAGCGTATAACGCGCGTTAGATAGATGCCCCTTTAACCTTTACCTGGGTCGCAAGTCCTAGGCACTGTTGAAGCTCCTCTCCCTGCAACGCGATGGACCCGGCACCCTCACGGTGAATCCATTGAATGCTGAGTGGTTTCGTCTCTTAGTAGGATGAATTGATAATTTCATTTATGTTATGTTTAATTTTTGAAATAAATATGATAGTTGAATATTATCTCCTTATGTTATTGACACGTTGTTATAACAGCACGTATTTCGTTACGGTCACGTAGGCAACCCTTCAAAATGTCTATTATAAAGATATAATCTATATATATATATATATATAAATATATATATATATATATAAATGAATTGCTGTTCTTTAGTCTCACTAAAACTCGAGAATGGCTGAACGGATTTATCTTATCTTAGTCTTGAAATGATCGTGGAGTAAACTATTAAAAAACTGGTATTATCTAAATAACTACTATACGACACAAGAGTTTATTGATGCGCGAACATTACATTTAGTGTCAGAGAGACAATAGAGTCCTTGAAAAATGTATCTTTTTTTATTTTCAAAATAAATCTGAATTTTATGTTTTCATAACAATTATTTCTAAAATAAACCAAAGATTTTTTAAAAAAGATATATTGATTATTTGTTTTCTCATTATGTACGAGACTGACAAAAGCGTAAGATAGTTCATCAAACTTTCTGTAAATATTAGTTAAAGATAGCAAATTTTATTAAAGAATCAAACGTTTGAGCTACCAATGATACAAATTATAATTAAACTTTACGTATATATGTACATTATGATGTAAGTGGAAAATTATTTTCACAATACGTAAATAAATGCCAACTAAACGGATAACTAAACAAAAGTACCGATACACAGTAAATGACAAAGTTATTTATAGTCCATTTTAGAAAGACTACGATATATTTATGAAAACATATTATGTTTGAATAATTGTGCGTTAGTTATACAAAATTATATTTAGAAAAAATTAAGTTTATTTTTATGATACTACTAGTAAACCTGGCGAACTCCGTTTCGCCTCCAGAAGGCTTTTATATAACATTTCGTTTGGTGATTAAAAGATGGATTTATTTGGTTTTATATTTGAAAAGGAAAATTTTTATTTCATTTCACAACTGTAATGAATTCATTTCGATTACAAAAATGAAGTGTTATTTAGTTGAACTTCTTTAAGTAAATGAAAGTGAATCCAAAGTAGATACCGAATCGAAGCGTTATACGTGTCCGCAAATTATACGTTTCATTAAAGTGGTCCTTTGTAAACCACATTTTTTGTTTTTTGGTCTAACTTTAACACAAATAAAGCGGATGGTTTCCAAACTCGTGAACACGCAAAATATAATGCCCATGTGAAAAACAATGTTTTCTAAATTTATCCCGCAAATACTAAATGGTTTTAAGAGTTCAAACTACAAACACAATACCGGTTTGTCACATGAAATTAACTGAGCAGAGAACAATAAGTACCTGTCAACCGATGTATCATGCACCGGCACCATTTACTTAAAATATTGATTTGTAGTACATGTTATGTATGTGAAGGCGCTGTATGTGAAAAAAGATTTTCCCGCTTTTCTGTTGAATTTTTTTCTTATATACCTCACGGAACCCGAGACCTTCCAACAAGGCAATACCGTGGAAATTAGTTCGTTCCGGACCGGACTTATTTTTATATAGTAGATCTCTTACAAATATCTAATTGTCATCATTACTTATCTGTCATTATACGTCAATTGCATAGCTGTCAATTGTGTTTCGTTATTCCACGTTTTATAGTGACTGACGTTTCATGTCAAGTCCCACGGGAATGCTGTCGAACGGGATAAAAAGTATCTTATTGCAATTTCCTGGCTCTAAACTACCTCCCTGCTAATTTTCAGCTAAATCGGTTCAGCCATTCTTGAGTTATAAGTGGAGTCACTAACAAGACTTTCTTTTATATATATATATATATATATATATATATATATATATATATATATATAGATTTTTAAAAGAAACAAAAATCTTTTAATAATAATATCTAAGACTTCCGCGAGTTTTCATTTAAATAAAACTAATATTTTCGGATTACTACGCGTTTTTTTATTATTTTAAACTGCATACTTTCGAAGTTTGGGTTACTTTGCACCAACCGTGATAATGAGTTTAATTATTCCCTATATTTAAAAAAATAAGAAAATATGACGGTGGGAGTTTCATTTTTTCAAATTCATAAGTATTTGAGATATCAAAACCGAATCATCGTAAAGGTGTATTAAAATATGTAAAAACTAAATGGTTTCTAGGCAACACCTTAAAGGTCCTTTTTTAATTATGCAACATAACGTGTACCTCATAACTGTGGTTGTGAAAATGGTACAATTAAAAAGCATTAATCCAACATGATTTTATAAGCGATATAAAAAATGCAATAGACTTTTGAATATACATAAAACAGAACGAATATATTCATGTCACGAGTTATCATAAATTAAAATTATATCTTTTTAAAGCTCCCTTATAAGGGAATATATTCCTGACATAAAAATATTTTATGGGACGATTATTTAAGTATCTAATGTACATTTGTAATCTCAATTGTGAAACGTTGTTTGATATATACATATATTCCACTGAATTTCTAATTTAGAAAATCGAAAAGAGAGAAAAAAACTTTCCCGGTATACCCCTTATTTTGCCCCAAAGACTGAAATAATAATAATTTCCTATAAAATATAAACATATTTTAAATTTTTAAACAGTATCGATTGATTATTATAAATGTTTAAAAAACTTACTTCTAGGCTGAGATTTATCAAGAAAAACATATTTTATTAATATGATTCTTATTAATTCAACATGACTAATTTATTGTTAAATTTGATGATATGAAATGTTTTAAGCATGTGTATATAATATAATTATAAAAACATGTTTGCACAATTATTTTTGCTCAAATATATGTATTTAAAACAATAGATCAACAAAATATGTATAAGATATCCTATACTCATTTTCTGGTACTGACAGACTAAATAAACAGTAAACATTTAAATCAGTTTTATCACAATTAAGTAAAAACAGAATAAGGTCTATGATACGTAATAAATAACGAAGGCTTAGGTACTTATTATTTCGAAATTAAATTCATGAGCATTTATTTTATGGACTGAAATTTATAATTCAAACTGAGAGACGGAAAAAAATGGCCCACTTAATGTAATAAAGATGGAAAAAGACATATTTTAACGTCATGGTAAAAAAAAAAACCACTAAGATACTTCAAAGCCGCATAACGTTTAAATACATTATAATTCAAAAAGTTTACCAGTAACAACAATTATTTTTTACTAAATTGCTTAGTTAAAATACAAGTAACCCCTTAATTACATTTTATGACTGATCTCTTTACTTGTCACGAAAATAGTTTAATGATTTTTACATATTGATGATAATGATTTTTACATCAAACATTATCGAACTATTACATATTATTATACACGCGACTATTTTCATTGATGTAGTTTTATGTATTGGTCTTAAATAATAAAATAGCTTCAGACAGACTCAATTCTTTAATTTTTTATATTCGGAGCTTGGAATATTTTCATATAATACAAGCATTATTACGTTTTAAAATGAAATATTATGATTTACTTTCAATGTTATGGACGATCACTAGCGTCACAATTTATTATAACGCTTAAGGACTATTTGAGATCATCAATATTAATGTGATTTCCACTTTGTATTCAAATGCGGCTTGTTATCGATCACACCGTTCAATTACAAATGCATAAACTACGTTGTAACTTATATATTTCAAATACGTTGTAACTTATATATTTATTTATAATGGTGAGAGACATTTAATTTTTGAAGTTATTGTTCTGTATATAACGTTTTATAATTCGTATGATATTCTTTACATAACCAATATTTAATTTCGATCCTGTGTTTAGCTAGCACCTGAAAGTATTTTTATTATTGACGCTTTATTACATATTATATATTAAGGATTCTAATAAAATTCTTATAAGAATATAGTTTTCTTATAAGGCCAGGACTTTTAAATAACAATAAAACCTTAACTAGAGTAAACTAATTATTATCTTAAGCCAAAACACCTTAAATTAGTTAAATTCTATTAACAATAATACAAGTCGTGTTCACAACATGCTTTCGCGCGTTAGAAGAGAACAAGTCAAGCGTCATAGCTTTAATATCGCTTCGGATGCGTTCGGGAATTTAAAGGTTCGGTTCAAATAAAAAGTGTGTTTCCTAAGTCGGCCAATCCTGACGAAGCGTCGTCCTCGGCGCGCTCCTCGGCAAGGCCAGTTGACAGTGAAGCAACTGCAGCCGGAGGACCGCTCAAGCAGCCGAAGCAGCCGGAGGACTGCCGAAGCAGCCGGAGGTCTGCCGAAGCAGTCGGAGGACTGCCGAAGCAGCCGGAGGACTGCCGAAGCAGCCGGAGGACTGCTGAAGCAGCCGGAAGACCGCCGAAGCAGCCGGAAGACCGCCCAAGCAGCCGGAGGTCTGCCAAAGCAGTCGGAGGACTGCCAAAGCAGTCGGAGGACTGCCAAAACAGTCGGAGGACTGCCAAAACAGTCGGAGGACTGCCAAAGCAGTCGGAGGACTGCCAAAGCAGCTGAAGGGTCGCGATTGAAGCTGAAGGGTCGCAACTGCAGTTGAAGGGTCGCGTCTGCAGCTGAAGGGTCTCGGCTGCAGCTGAAGGGTTGCCACTATATCCAGCTGTATCGGTACTTGGTCGAAATGACAATGATGATGAATCAATCTAATCATTTACTTCATCTGAAATCTGAATAGTTACTTGCAAGAGATTGTGATAATCTCATTGAAGACACATAAAGACACACAAAGTAATGTAACGTGTGAAAAATAAAATGAAAATAGTCTGTGAGGGCCCTCTAAATTAAAGTTCCTGTTTACACCACTGTTCGTAGCGAGGTTCCGTCGTGACGCAAACCAGGCCTGCATCTGTAATCAAACCAGACAGAAGGCGTCCCAACTGTCTGCGGTTGACGAAAGCAATAGTGCATCGCGCGTCAACACTTCAATAATATGATATTTTAAGGATGATATGAAAATGATAACCATGGACAGCAGCATCACTGACTCGCTAGTCCAATATACGATCATCTCGCTTATGATATGAAAATGATAACCATGGACGGAAGCATCACTGACTCGCCAGTCCAATATATGATTATGTGGTTTATGATATGGAAATGAATATGAACATGAAAATGATTATGTGGTTCATGATATGTTAATGAATATGAAAATGGTTACCATGGACAGAAGCATCATTGAATCGGTAGTCCAATACATGATGATGTGGTTTGTGATATGGAAAAGAATATGAACATGAAAATGATTATGTGGTTCATGATATGGAAATGAATATGAACATGAAAATGATTATGTGGTTCATGATATGAAAATCAATATGAAAATGATAACCATGAACGGAAGCATCACTGACTCGCCAGTCCAATATATGATTATGTGGTTTATGATATGGAAATGAATATGAACATGAAAATGATTATGTGGTTTATGATATGGAAATGAATATGAACATGAAAATGATTATGTGGTTCATGATATGAAAATGAATATGAAAATGATTACCATGGATATTAGCATCACTCAATCGCTAGTCCAATACATGATTATGTGGTTTATGATATGAAAATGATTACCATGGACATTAGCATCACTCAATCGCTAGTCCAATACATGATTATGTGTCAAAGCCAGTCACCAGCTTGTTCTATGTAACCAGGTTTCACTCCCAAGAACTGCGCATGATTCCAAACACCTCTCTCGGTTCACAGGTAACCATGGACTCGGCCACCGCTCGTGTAGTTTCCCCACACGAACCGCTGATGAGGGCAAACTGGTAGTAACCACCGGATAGGACTCGAACTACGCCAGGGGTCCACGTATACTAGGTTTTGGGCTGCCTTTGAATTGCGAATATCTAATCAAGAAAATTAAATAATTAAAATTGTGAGAACGCTGTCTCCGCCTCTGACAATTTACGTAAGCCTTGTTGTACTTGATGTATCCGCAGCCGGTGAGCTCCCTGATAATACACACGTACACACAGTGACGGTTCAATAGACAAGGGAAACAAGGTTACACAAACACATTAGTTACTACAGATGGCGATAGTCACATATATTTACGGATAGTTATTATAATACTAACGCCTCTGCTTAACAAAATGATAAAAGGTTTGAAATAGCTAGTATACCAAGTTGTTAATTAAAATATTTATGCTTTAAAGAACCTAAACTTTTTGTTAAAATTTCAGCTGGCATTTTAGCAGTTTATAAATAATCAATTTTAACAAATTTATCTGCTACTGCCTGTCTCACAAAATGGTATCTGACGTCTATATGTTCCTATGGCATACTGGATTCAAAACAAGTTTATATGCAGTTTGACAATCTTTATAAAAAGTACTTGTTTCTGAATTACTTTTAATTACAAAATTAAATAGCCTTCAATTTCAAAATCAAATAGTCTTTTTAATTAAATAACCTCCTTACTGGCTTCTCACATGGAAATATTATCTGCTTCTGTTCAAGACAAAGCTATATTTCTGTGTTTTCTTCTTTCAAAAGAAATTACTCTACCAGACAACTTAAAATCCAGAAAAAGATTTTCTATCATTTGAATCTGAACTCTAATCTGCATCATCATATCCTTGTATATAAGAATTATTCTTTAATAAAAACAAAGCAAAACATTTTAGTAACTTTTAAGTAATTCAAAGTGTTTTCAATGAGTTCCATCATATGAGTTATTAAACTGACTCAAATAACATACACTGTAAGCTAAGTCTGGTCTGGTCAAGACAGCTAAATACATAAAATTACCTATCAGTTTCTATATGGAATTTTCTTATCACAAGAACTGTTCTTAGATTTTTCTATCCTTACATTAATCTCTATAGGGGTTTCAACAGTTTTACAATAAAACATATTAAATCATTTCAGAAAGCTTTCCACATATTGTTCTTGATTAACAGTTATAACTTTTCATACATATTTACTCTTTAACCTAAACATTGCTTTATTTGACATAGATCTTCTATTTTAAATTTAATGCTTAAATTTTGTATTAACTGATTAGTAGTCATTTTACATTTAAAGAATACAAACAAGGCTATTATAACTAAACAAAGCTATTATCACTTAAACATTATTATTATATTTTTTTTTAACTTTGTAAATAAACAAGCTTCATACATAGATTTTAAATGACCTAAAGACTTTAAGTGATCACTGACTCTCTCATTACTATGCATGCAAGGACTGCTCAAATCCATAAATGACATGTTTAAACCTTGTTACCATCATTACTATCATCCTCATACAATACAAGATTTTTCATATACACAAAATCATTTAGGAAAGCTCTTGTAATACAGATGGTGTAAATCTAAATCTAATTTTACAGTTAAAGAAAATAACAATCTTAGAGTAGAATAATATAGTACAGGGAAAAGGCTCATGATAGCCTACGCTGGCTTTCTGTGAAAAACCTTTTGCCACTAATCTTGCATGGTATTGCACATTACCAACATCATCAGACTATGTTTTTAAACACCCATTTGTACTGAGCTACCGTAGAATCACAAGAGTTATCCACAAGTTCTCACACATCATTTATCTTAAACGACTCTAATTCTACTTCCATACTTATTCTCAGTTTCATTTAAAGCTCTCTGTGTGTAATATCCATTATATTCTGATCATCTGATTCTACAATACATAAATATTAGTAGGTGAATCTATCAGATACTTTTTACAATTGTAATAAAAAATAAAATAAAATTGTTTGTCCAAAGGGAAAGTTCAGACTCAAGTCTACTAATGATTTGATGATGATAATAATAGTCTGGTTTTGATGCTGTATCAGAAACACTCTGATATGAATCACTTACTAAAGAATCTTATGGAATATGTGACATTACTACCATTACATTCAGTATTTATGATATCTGCATTACCATTTTCTTCTTTTTCACTTTGTTCCCCGTTGAAACCTTACACTCAATAGTAATATTAATTGTATTTTTGGTTGGTTACATTATAAGGATGACTCTACTGGTTTTAACTGAGTTGTTTTCAGGATTATAAACCCTATAGCTTTTTAAATTCACTTCAAAGCCTATCAAAATAAGTTCCTTATCTTTCATATCCAATTTCTAATATTTTTCTTTATACCTGACAACTTGCATTAAGAAGTTTGTGTATTATTAAATAAATATTGCTACTGAATTCGGTAAGTAAAGTAGAAAACTAGAAAAATTCAAAAATTCACCCACAGTCAGACACTATGAAGCCAAAGAGTGAAACTATATTGGTAAACATGAACTTAACCACCCTTATAAAGGTTACGAATTAATAAATAAAACTTACCGAATGCGTGTATTATTAATAAAACAAAATTTGTACCTGTTACACTCACGCCTTAATTTGAATTGCTGTTCGTTTTGTTTTAATCTCCCAGTCAAAGAGTATACAAACCAACAGTTTCGTCATTTTGAACTTCGCTGTTTAGTCGCTTTACTTGAGCTAGCGTTAAACTTCTAATGTACTGAAACGCAATATGGTGCCTGAAAAAGAATGTGTCCCACCTCTCGATCGCGATCCAAACTTACATTCTTAGACCGAGTTCTGTTCCAATTTTCCAAAACCAACGGTGGTTGTCTTGTCCACGCCACGTGTTTCGAGACTAATGTTATCTATCAGTCTTATTCACTCGCAAGTAATTGTTAAAGTAGATTTGAAAACACATATTTTATCTTATTTATTACTTTTTATGTACTTAATCAAAAAACGTATTACATAAATATAACTATGAACGTGAATGCTATCCCACTTCTGAATTAAGGATTCTAATAAAATTCTTATAAGAATATAGTTTTCTTATAAGGCCAGGACTTTTAAATAACAATAAAACCTTAACTAGAGTAAACTAATTATTATCTTAAGCCAAAACACCTTAAATTAGTTAAATTCTATTAACAATAATACAAGTCGTGTTCACAACATGCTTTCGCGCGTTAGAAGAGAACAAGTCAAGCGTCATAGCTTTAATATCGCTTCGGATGCGTTCGGGAATTTAAAGGTTCGGTTCAAATAAAAAGTGTGTTTCCTAAGTATATATACATTTTCCTTTTTATTATTTTTCCTGGACAATCAAAGTAATCATAGTTCACAAAATACAACTTATTTGTCATTTAAACACCACAACCATTTTATAAAAAATTTAGAAATACTTATTTTAATAATATAACTTGTGATATTTATACATATATGGTTTATTGACGTAATGAACGATTCAGTTCATACAAACCATAACTAAAAAAATTTAATGTTAGGTATATACAGTTTATTACTTCCAGTAAGCGTTACGTGCCAGTCCCAGTAATAGCCTAAACACTCTAATTATGCTCCAATTTCAGAAATTTAATAATAACTGCGTTTATTGTTACAAATGTAATGCAATAAATATTTCACTGAAAAAGAATTCTTCGGAAAAGAACAGCAAGAACATCAGTGTGTAAATGACAAATTTACTGATTTTAATAGTTTTTAATAATAAGTAAAACTTCTTTTGCTTTCTTCGAACATAAAATTAATCTTTTT